TATTTTTTACAATCATGTCCCCTCACATGCCCCATGAGTCATCTGTCACTTGTGAGTGGGCGGAGCTCATCGTAAGGGAAAGCGTTGTCAGGGTAACTGTCAAAGATTGAAACCTGCAGTTTTGTTTTAATATATATATATACATACATTTGATTTTGTCTTTAGTTGATTGATGCATTCTATGTTGCACTTGGTAGAGTTTTTTTTAAATGACTGAATACACCGCTGGGTAGCCTAAACCAGTGGTTCTCAAATGGGGGTACGCGGACCCCTCGGGGTACGTTGGAGTACTGCAGGGGGTACGTGAGATTTATTTTATGTTAATGAAAAAAACAACATAAGTAATGCATTTAAACAAACTACTAATAGTAGATTAACCACTTTATTCAAAGGTTTACAGTAATTCTGGATAATAAAATGGGAAAAATAAACGGGGTGCTCTCTTTTCCTCTCCCTCTCCTGACAGCCCGTCAGTCTCGTGCAGGTCGCTGAACCTGTAATAGGCCTAAGTGACCCGACAGTAAATAATACATATATTTATAACTAGTTTAGCTTGTTCCAGATTAGATAAACTAGCTACGTGTGTTAGGTCTAACTCTTAGTGTATTTAATTTTGCTCCACTCAACGGTCCGCGGCGGAGCTGTGATCATGCAGAGCTGCGTGTTCTCCGTCAGCAGCAGCTGATCTGATCTCTGATCTCTCTCTCGCGTCCGGTTATACTTCACTCGCGTTTATGTCCAAATCTATCAGATCTAGCTAGTTATAGCTAATTACATAACTGCCTGCTTATCAAAGGACCTAAACAATAAGCGTTGCTTGGCAACGGCGTGTGGCCGCAAAGTATAGCGCAGCATTATGCATTTGTTTATATGAGGGGTCAAAATCCCATGCTCATAAAATGCTCATATATTTGTTTCTCTTCATTCCCCACGCCCCAAAATAAATAAATATACCAATTTTAGGAAAAGTAACGAAGTTTGAGCAGTGTGGGTTTTATATTAACAGTTACACATATTTCAAAACGCTAAGTGTAATAACTGCAGTTTGCCTCCCTGTCAGAATGACAAAAATTGCCGCTAAAAATGTACAGTCAGACAAACAAGACGGTAACATGTAAAAGCAAAATCAATACATGAATATTTAATTTCAACTTATAAAAAACAGGGAATGAGAAAAGGTTCAATGGGTTTGTATAGGTTAATTCTGTGTATCAGATCATCAATATGGAAGATTTCGATTTTTTGATCTTTAGGAATTTGGATTTCTGAAAGAAAACGCAGCAAATGGGCGTAATTTGCAGATTTTATAGTTGTGAATTTAAAATGTTATCAAAAGATAAACACTATTTTCTTGTGACAGAAGCATCTTATGAATGCCTTCAAAATTAAAGTAAAAGACTAATTCATGAAAATACAAATATAAGAAAACCAGCAATGGTTATAAAACAACACACTGCAGTATTTTTTAAATGCTGTTCTTCGGCTTTAATAATTCTGAGTGTATTTTATTTTTTACAATCATGTCCCCTCACATGCCCCATGAGTCATCTGTCACTTGTGAGTGGGCGGAGCTCATCGTAAGGGAAAGCGTTGTCAGGGTAACTGTCAAAGATTGAAACCTGCAGTTTTGTTTTAATATATATATATACATACATTTGATTTTGTCTTTAGTTGATTGATGCATTCTATGTTGCACTTGGTAGAGGTTTTTTTAAATGACTGAATACACCGCTGGGTAGCCTAACCTATAATAACACACCATTATTCATTAATTAATAATTTAAATATGCAAAGTACAATGTAACTGAAATTATAAAATAAATATAGAGGCGGAAAAAGTACAACATATGCCTTTAAAATGTAAGTAGGAGAGAGTGGGTTAAGATGAGCCCGTTTTTACTTATGTTGTCCTCTAGGCAAGGAACAATGGGATGTCTTCTGTCAATAAAAATGAAAAAAGTCTATCACAAATGGTCATGAAAATATGATGTGGCTCGACTTGCCCCATCTAAGGGGAAAGTTGATCCGCGTCAAGGGGTAAATTGAGCCATTGCGGGGTCAATTTCCCAAATGAATTTTTGAAATGTAAACCTGAGTTGTTTGGTGTTGTTTCTGTCTGCTAATTCAAAGGCCAGTCCACAGCATGTCTTTGGAGTAAGGACATGGAACTGGTCATCCAGTTCTTTGATCTGGTCTGCAACTCCTTCTCTCTCCTGTGTGAAGACCCTCTTGGCTGTTCCTCTGTACCCTACTGTTTCCACTTCCTTGTTCTCCCTCCTTTGTATGTCTCTACACAGGGTTGATCTGTCAATATTTCTATCTTTTGCCACTGCTCTGATGAATTTTCCAGCCTTGCCATCAGTGGCTACTCTCTCCATCTCCTCAATCTTTCTCTTGGACTTTCCTGGCACGATAGCTTTTCTGCATGTTTAAAACATTAAAAACAAATCAGTTGTGTAAAACTACATTGAAATAGCATTTTAAACTAGAGAGACTTAACATAACTTCAGTGCCTCATTGGGGGGTTTAAGTTGAACCACTGGCTCAATTTACCCCAAAGCATCTGGCTCACTTTGCCTTACAGCCACTTTTTTGTAATAAAAACTTCTCTAATTTAATCACTCATGCTAATCTTTAGATAAATGATTCACATGGTTTTATACTTGCTAAATAACCAACATGTATGATACATATTTTCCGACCTGGATACATTTGCTTTTACATAACAGTTATTATACCTGACATGTTGAACATTTACTTTTACGAGCAAAACATGGTTTATTGTGAAAAAAAAACTATTTACCACTTTACCATGTGCTCCTCTCCAACGCAGCCAAATAGTTTAGTTTATTGTTTTAGTTGTCAGGGACCATGTGCAAAAAGAACATCAATCTCAAAGAGATAAGATGACCAGATTATAGCAGTTTGCTAACTTCCATCTGCCATAGAAATGATGTGTGCTTCCTGAATTTATGGTCACATGACAACAAATGTGCACAGTTCTCTATATAAAGGGGGTAGGTCAACTCACCCACTGGCTCATCCTACCCCACTCGACCCTACAAGTAAATCAAATTTTTGCTTCCGTAAACTGCGTGACTCAAACTACTTAATAGCATCATTTTTGGCATTATATTATTTATTTGTTTGACTTTTATGTATTTTTTGGTGACATTCGCACTTCTGTTATGAATAGACTATTACTGCCACCACTGCTTTACCTGCTGCTATTTTACATTAAAGGTAATTTAACCCTCTGAGGCCCACGGGGCCGTATACGATCCCAAATATCAAGTTGTGTTCAAAGCATCATAACTTCTCAGCTGTTTCAGCCAGAGACATGTCGTGTTTTTCCTCTTAAACTACAGAAACGGCAATAAACAACTCTATTAAGTTTTTCATTGAGAGGCGTTTACTTATTTCGGTGAAACGGATGTGCGTAAAGTTTTAAAAGATGCGGATAGTCTCAACTTGATTCTGGCGCATTACTTATCGTTTTCTGTTTGTTTTATAGGTCTATTTTCATCCACCATCTTTGTTTGTGACGTAAAGAGTGTAAGAGTCACGTTTCTGAATCGGACACTCTGAGTGGATGCAGTCACAGCCAATCAGAGTCTGATTCAGAGGGTTGCCTGTCAGTTCCGATGTTATGTGTACTGAAACGAGAGCAGATATAATTCCACGCGCGAAAACAAAATAAAAGTTGGAATACGTTCTTTTAGTGTCTTAAAAGTAGACTGAGGTATGGCAAGGAAGTTTACTACAGCTGAGGCTTTGGAGCTGATTTTTCAAGGTGACGATGTCGATGAAAATTCAGACGAATCTGCTCAGCATGTCATGTGTGATTGTGGACAGGAACTGCCATGATATATATCATGTGTAGTCTTCAAAATTGACAGCACAAACAAATGACAATTCCTGGCAAAGAAAACACCCAGACACTGCCCAAAAGAATGGGCATAACTAATGAACAGAATAAGTTAGAATCTTCTAACAAGTTCTGATACAATGATAATAAATGTGTGCAATTTTCTGTGTTGAATGTTTCTTTCAATGTTATGGTTAGCAGTTATTTTTAATGAAATAAGTAAAAATAAAAGATCCCCTATTATAGTGTATATAAGTCTCTAATGAGTGACATATATCATTAGCTGAGGTTGTGCTGATTCTGGGATGTGTAAAACTTGATTATACTGTAAGGAAATGACAATTTATAAGGCAAAACACAAAAATAGTAGACCAAATCATAATCTCGCCTAGGGCACCAAAATGTCTAGGGCCGGCCCTGCTTACTGTAGTGCCAGCATTGGGTTTACATTTGTGGTTCAGGCTGAAATGTCTTGAACAATAAGATACATTCCCTTGACATTTCCCTCAGATATTGAAGGTCCCAAGGAGATGCATTTTTAGAACTTAAGTGATCCTCTTCATTTGGTATTCCTATTACTATTTGCCCTATGCTTCGCCTGCCCTATGGCTAAGCTAACAATTATTAGCTGGTTAAGTAGACAGCTAACGTTTTCTAGCTTGTTAGATAGATAGATATATCGCTAATGTTCGCTAGCCAGTTTGTTAGATAGATGGGTAATGTTAGCTAGTTTGCTAAACAGTTAACATTTGCTAGTTAGCCTGATAGGTAATGTTTACTTGTTATCTAGATAGCTAACGTTACTATACATAGCAGAGTTTTTTCCAAAAATGTCCTTATATACTATTTTGGGCTATTTTCATGTCAACCTTCCGCCCAGTAACTGATTCGAAGGGCTACTGTAAAACCATTTCATGGGTTTAGTGTAGCTGTAAATGATCCGAAATAAAATTCATTGTGTACAATGCTCTGAGTGCTTAACTGGAAAAACTAAAACAGGTGCAGAGGTTGGACAATGGGCGGGGCTACATCAGGTAAATATGCTTATTATCTTCCTAATATGCAAACAAGAATGACGTCACAAATGAATCCAGGTGATACAAGCCATGTATGTGTAACACTCAGCTATAACAACAGTTGTCATCCGAAGCCACGCATTGAAACAATCAGAGCAAACTAAGATGGACGTAGTTCTACTGCTTATCATGGCTGCTGCAGGCAAGTGTTTCAAATTATGAGATATATTTTTTGTTTATATATTGATTATTTTCCAAAAATCTGAGGCACATGAAAATATTAATTATAGAGGACATTTCGGATTCTTGATAAATAGAATGATTAATTGCATTGTAGGCTGTACATTTGTCCAAATGTTTTTTAAGGTGATCTCTTAAAAAAGAACTAAATGAATTGCAGTTAAAAGTAAAGATTTCTGTTTTAAATTTTCTGACTAATTACATTTCAGTGTGCTAGGATGTTTTTCATCCTAGCACACTAAAATGTAATTAGTCAGATTATAGCCTGAATAAATGTGTATCTGTGTCTCTACAGGGCTGAGTGCTGTCTCATCATTTGTTGACCGTCAGCACTATTTTGTTGATGAAATGAAGAACATGATCGAAGCACAAAGTTACTGCAGAGAGAAATACACAGACCTGGCCACTGTACACAGCATGGAGGTTGTGAAGCTCCTGAACGACAGTTTCGGTTCAAATACATCGGTAAGAAAATGGATAGTGAGTTTACTTGTTTGTTTTAATTCAAAGCAATTTTCTAACTTTTATGCTGGTGACAGGTTTGAACGTTATAAAATGTGACCCTACATAGTAACTTGCAACTAAACTGTAGTGGTGTAAAAAGTTGAAAAATGCCCATCAAGTGCAGTAGAGTAAAGTATAAAGTGTTTTGGTACCACTTTACAATAAGACTACCCTTATAAAGGGTTTACGAATAGTTTGTAATTAATTTATTAATTAGGTTGGGAACACTTTATAAATCATTAATAAGCTTTTATAAGACATGAGATAAACAGGGCAACTGTGACCGGTTGCTTGCCAAATAGTGAGCCCACATTTATCTGTACTGCTAAGTCTGATATTGGCTAGCTTACTTCGTCTTCTTCATCAGCCAGCATCCTTGGTATCTGTTGCTCACTGAGTTGATTCTCGCTAAGTAGCCAATATAAGGCTTAGTCATCTTGCCAAGTAGTGAGCCTGTGTCGATGTATGAAAACTATGTTAGGCAGGCGTGTGGCGCAGTGGATTAGTGCGTTTTTAGACACTTCACCCCAAATTGCTCCTGTGGGGATTGCCCACAGTATTGAGTATGTAAGTCGCTTTGGATAAAAGCGTCTAAAAAGTAACATGTAATGTAATGTTAGAACTGGTTTATAAATGGTTCTTAATGATTAATAAAGTATTTACAACCTAATTCACAACCTTGAATCCTTTATAAGGGTAGACTTATTGTAAAGTGGTACCAGTGTTTTAGTATAAAACTCCATTATTGTGTTTCATCAGACACTTTTTCAGCTGCAGAGTAACAATAACAAACGGAGGGAATTTTGAAGAAAGACTGAAAGCATGGAAAATATTCATGGAAGATGAAGCCTTGAATGTACTTAAAATAAACTTTTGTATAAACTTTTACACAGAACAAGGAATGTGGAACTCTTACCTGTTTCAATATTCATATGGGAAAAATGTGCACCTGTCCTGTTAGTTTTTCAAATTGAAATTGGTTGTGAAAGTAAAGCAAAGCAATTGTAAAATCCTGTAATAAAGTTTAAGAGGATTAGACAAATATTTAACAGACTTACATCTGCTTGAACTGCTTTAAAAGTTACATTATAGTGTAATTGTTAATACTGTAATTAAAATCGCTTTCAGAAAGCCTGGATAGGGCTGTACGATGACCGGGACACCTGGAGTTGGTCACTGTCAAACACAGGCTTCAACAATTTTGCACCAAGCAACTCTGACCGACGAGAACACTGCACACTGAACAGCTCTGTTGATGAACTATGGGATGCTGGTAGTTGTGAAGAACACTTCAATGCAATCTGCTTTGACGTCAGTGGTAAGACTATTAACTTAACACTAGAACCGCCAGGGGTCGCTGTATACCTAAAACCGCCAACGGGTAAAATGCACCCGCTATTAGCATTGATTTTCAAGGTACAATGTTCTTTTATTTATCATACTAGAACACAGGGTTAACAATGAGTTTTGATCGCACAGTGATGAAACTTATACCAATAGAATCTGTGGACTCTCAGCTTTCATATGATATCTAGTGTGAAGATAGCGTGAAGTATCTCTCTCTCTCTCTATGTGTATATATATATATATATAAATGTATATATATATATATATATAAATATGGAGATAGAGATATAGATAGAGATATAGAGATAGAGATAGATATATATAAGAGAGAGATAGAGAGAGATAGAGAGAGAGATATAATATGATAGATATAAGAGGAGAGAGATAGATAGATATATATATATGTAATATATATATAAATGTATATATATATATATATATATAAATATGTATATATATATATATATATATATATATATATAAATATGTATATATATATAAATATATACATATATATATATATATAAATATGTATATATATATAAATATATATATATATATATATATATATAATATATATATACATTTTCGTCTCATCACTTTTCGTCAACGATATTGCATGTTGATTTCGTTACAGTTATTGTTTACTGCCGTCGGTGCCGTCTCGTCATCGTCTCGTTTTAGTCATGGAAAAAAAGGTCGTTGACGAACATATTTCGTCATAGTTTTAGTTAACGACATTAACACTAGCTACATAACACACCTTTCAGAAAAGTCACAGACTGGGAGACTTGAATATTTTTATTGAAAAGAAGTTACATACAATCAAGAAACAGCTGCGGGTCAAATTTACCCATTGGCGGTTCTAGTGTTAAGATAAATATATTACATTTAAAATCATATCAAAATCTTAAGAAAGAAAATGCGTTGGACTCTAACCAAACAAGTGGTTCCAAACCTTTTTCTAAAAAAGTGTTTCTACTTGTATATCCATGTCAGGTTTCAGATGTTTAACATTTCCCTTTTCACTCAAATTCTCACAATTTGATTGCTTGTATTCCACTGAGTTCCACTACTATGTAAAGCTAATGTAATTTAACAGCTGAAACATCCGTAGTTAATTAGTATTTAAATGTAGCATTTACCTGTAACAGAGTGTCTTGTGGCTAATGGCACCAAAAGAAAAAAGGTGCAAAGGTCTTAAGCCCCATGCCCCCGATACCGGGGGCAAAACGCAACATCTTGCAAGAAACAGGGCTTCTTAACATTTAACCTGTTACGCACGGCCCGCCCGGTACCGGGCGGAAAAACACGTTATTTGCAGGGAACAACGTCTAAGGAATGTTAATATTTAATATCCATGTAACGGGAAGAAACTCAGCTAACTGATCTTTTTAATTTTTTTTTCCAAAAAAACCCCACAATGCTAGCACTCAGCCTCTGAATTACCCACGAGCGGAAAAAATTTACCTAAAACGGCACTTAAACTCACTCTAACTCCCTTATTACTTATCCTAGATGCACAGCCAACCACTCGTTTTTGGTGTCCTGGAGACACTGAATCTGTGGGTGCCCTCCTCAACACTCAGTGATAAACATTCGCGACGCTATAAACGAAAGCGTACATCATAACATGTGGAGCTAGGTAGCTAGAAAGCTAACATGGCTTACCTTGGTCAAAACTGGTCTTCAATGGCATTCAAACGATAAAAAAACGATACTGCAGTTAATCCATAGGTTCATCCTATGTATCTGTGCCTTCTTTGAAATTATTTCTGATAATCCATAAGCAATAAAACGGCTTTTTAATTTCCAAACTCCAGAAGGACAAAATCTGCAAAAATAGTTTCATTTCTAGACGCGTAGCCCCCACATTTTCTCTTTACAATGAGTGTGTGAGTGGGCCTCCCCCTTCGATTCTATTGGCTCTAACGGTCAGAAAGGTGTGTCAACGATCCCAATCGAGTAAGGGGGGCCAGAGATAGGTCAAATCCACCCAAATGACCCCAGAAGTGGGTTTTTTTGGCTAAATCTCTCTAAAAAGGTCAAATTTCACTTGTTTTGCATCAATCTTGATACAGGGTACTTATTATATGTTGTACTTTGGATTCCTAAAGCTTTTAGTCTACTAACCCATCATCCAAGGGTAGTTTTCACTATCTGTAAAAAATAATTTTTGGACGGACACTATAATTTACAGTTTTTTACTATGTAAAATCTGAATTTTCTTTAAAATAAAAAACATTTATATTGATTCTGATACTTCTACATCCAACTCACAGATGTAACCTTGCTTTGATAAAAGAAATTATTCATATAACCCTTTTAGAAGTTAAGTTGTAATCATTTGTTTTGGGAATGTCATTTTCGAGCCTGAAACATGAAAAGCAGGCTCGGTGCTTAACAGGTTAACAAACTATGAATGTGTCATACCCACTTAACGGGAAGAAACTCAGCTATCAGACAATATTAACCATTTTTAGCTAAACGAAACACAAGGGTCATACCAACCCTCTGAATTAGCCCTGAGCGAAAAAATGCTAACACACTTAGCACAGAACTCACGGTAGAGATACCTTATTACTTATCGGATCTGCACAAACAAGATATTCCACAGATTCTAGGGGTATAAGTATCATCACTGAGCGACCAAAACACGCGGCAGGGGTAGCAAACCCAGACAACACACAACGTAGCTTTACGGGACCAAAACAGAAAATAAGTCTTACCGTTGCTGTTTTCTGATCAAAAGTTGTGTTCAATGGCATTAAAATGCATACAACGCTGCTGAAGGTTAATCCAATGTGTCTGTGTCACTTTGAAATTATTACTGATAATCCATCTTCATATTTATGTCAATAACGGAGATTTCATATTAGCTGCTACGAGAGTGTATGACAGCTTCCGGTTTTGGGCATTCTGGCTACGCATCACTCATTCACCAATGGGTAATGTTTAGATGAATTTTAGGAACTTCCCCTCTATTTTATTGGCTCGAACGGTTAAAAAGAGGTGTCAATCATCAAAATCGACCGAGGGGGGCCAGAGATATGGAAAATGCACCCAAATGACCCCAGAAGTGTTTTTTTTTTTCTAAATCTCTCTAAAAAGGTCAAATGTAACTTGTTTTGCATAAATATTGATACAGGGTACTTATTATATGTTATAGTTTGGATTCCTAAAGCTTTTAGTCTCCGATCCCATCATTCAAGGGTGGTTTTCACTATAAGTAATGTTTTTTTTTTTGGACGGACACTATCATTTACATTTTCAATCAGAATTTACTTAAAATAAAATAAATTCTATATTGATTCTGACTTTTCTACATCCAACTCACAGGTTTATCATTGTTTGAGAAAATAGATTATTAATTTACTTTACAGGCCTGAGACCTGAAAAACAGGCTTAACTGGTTAACACAGGGCAGAAACAACTTGATGCCCACAAATAAATCCACTACCTGAATGCATTTCCTGGTTAAAAGCCTGAAATATGGTCTGTGGTTATCACAGGCTGATGAAATGTTCAAGTTTTGTTCTATGACACACAGTAATACTCCACTCGTGAATGTCAGAAGCTATGTGTCATAAACATGGGAGTTTCTAACAAGTGACTTAATAAACTACTAAATGCATAATGTAAAACACAGTGATGCGTCCATAATGTAGTTTGTTTACAGCCTTACGTTAGCTTTTTATTTCTGCCAATTTTATTTGCTCTTCAAAAATCACAAAGTGGTGTTATTATGTGGAGATTATTGAGCTGAACAAAACATGTAAGGTATCATAAACGTGTGTTGGCTACAGAGCTTAATTTTTGCAATATACCAAATTCCAATGGCGAAATCCCATTGCTTTTTTGTCCAGGGGCCCCTTGCAATGCTAATTTCTGGTTCTGGCCTAAATACGTCATCACTACACCACTCTATAAAACGTAAGAAATAAAACATATTATAAATAAAGCACAAAGTCCTTACATGTGGCTTCTATAAGATCTGAATACTTCTACCTCCACTTATGAGCCCCAAGGTTTAATTATGAGTCAAAACTCCAAAGTTTCTTGCCCAATATTAGTGTGGAAGACATTTCTTTTTTGTATTCATTTAGAGAGACTGTTAAGAAATACACAACATACATGTACACCACAGATGTGGCATTGATGGCAGGCTGTATGTTAGAATGCCTCTACTTTATTCTGGTCCATTTTCAGGGTCGAGTGTGACATTTGTCTTCACCAACATCATCTCCATGAACTGGACTGAGGCCCAGAGCTACTGCAGAGCACACTACACAGACCTGGCCAGTATCAGAAAAATGACAGAGAACCAGAAGACCTATGAAGTCCCAAGGTTCCAGATACGAGCTCCTGTATCTGTACAGGAGCGGGTTCCTGCATGGGAACCAGCCCGGGTCAGCCTTTACAGAGACCCCTGGAAGTGGTCCGATGGATTTAAGTCTTCCTTTAGATACTGGGCTAGAAGTCATCCTCACTCTGAGAATTGTGTGGCTGCACTTCACAAGGGTGGAATATGGGTGAGCCAGAGCTGTAAGAGCAAGATTCCATTCATCTGCTACAAACGTAAGTAAAAATCGCAAAAGCACACGACAAAGCAAGTGATACAACTGAGTCTGCTGATTTAGAAGAAACTATTTCTTTGATTTTTTTCAAAGATGTGCCTATTTCAAAGCAAGTAATAAAGCTGCGAGTGGAGAACAACTCTAATCTAAATCTTAAGGACAAGACCGTGCAGAAGGAAATCATTGTGCAGGTAAAGCATGTTTTCTACTTATATGCGAAAACCAGCAGATAACTTTTCAAATAAACACAAAGTTACCTACCTGCCACCAATTTAAACAGGAAAAGGTATAAATACTATTTACAAATCTGAGAAATGTAATATTGCAAATGCCATAACATTTACTAAAGAAGAGGTAAGGGGAATGGCAAGACCTGCTAAAGCCCAACAGGTTGGCGCCATCTTAGGGATATTTGTTGTATGTTATACTACATGAGTACACTATTGCCCCTTTCACACCAATGCAGCTCCCGTTCTAGCTCCGTGATTGCGCTCTTCTGGTTCGGAACCGGTTTTTCTTTTCAGCCCCCGTTTTGTTCACACCGCCCAGAGCCCGAGTGGGGCTGCGTCATTGCGTCATCGTTTGCGTCATGACGTAACCGTTTACGTGCCTGCTTCATAAAGCCAAACCGTGCGGAAATCCCTCATATCGACAACAACAACAACGATCCCGGTAGTCTTTCTTGAGTTTTTTTAGCCTGTTGCTTATTTGCTCCAGAGTCCGGTGGTATCCAGCAGTGGCCAGCTCCAGCTGCTGGAAAATAGCTTTAGACCGCGTTGTGACGTCCATCTTCCTCTGTACCTCTTGCGTTGACCAAATCCAGAGGAGGTAATTTGTCTCTTCAGCGATCCACATTTACTGGCATCCATCCTGGTTCTTAGTTGTGTGTGTTGCTGAACAGAATTTACGGCATTTTGTTGTTGTTGATCAGATTAATCCCGCCCCCCGCCTCTGACGTAATGCGGTTCTTGCTTCAAGACGGATTATTTTTTCGAGCTTGGTAAGAACCGGTTTTCGGGGAAAAGAGCCTGCTCCGCTGCGGTGTGAACAGGAAACACCGGTGCTTATCAGGCTCAAGTTCCGAACCGGCCCTGGAACCGCGTTGGTGTGAAAGGGGCATATAAAGATGCCATTTCTCTATTTGTGTGATAATGATCAGGAGTTTTGTATCTCAGATCAAAAAGAAGCTAATGGACAAGGGATTCAACGTCGAACTGATGTGGAGGACACAGCAGGATGGAAACGTTTTCCACGAGGAGGATGAGCTTTAGAGTAGAACTGCTGTCACTGCTTTTATGGCTTTTTTCTTACATTTGGTTAGAGAAGATAACATGTGACAAGAATTTGTAAAATAATGTACGATTTAACTGAAGGCAACTCCAGTGAAATCTTATTGCCAATAACAACGGTGAGCTGTGAAGTTGTCTCAGAATATCTTCAAATGAGTAATGTAGAAAAACAATTGTATGTCTTATTCTTGGTCTGACATTTTTTCTGGGGGGCTAACTTTAATTAAATTCCCTCAAATAAGGAATTGTATGTCTTTTCTTTGTCCTTTACAGTCATAAACTTCCAATCTTTGGAACTTAGTCAGTTGGTCGATGAAAACAAGGCGTAATGTAACTGCTCAGACTATTGGATACATTTTACTTTTCTGACATTTTATAGATTTAATATAATTACATGATAATAATAAATATCTCAAGGAGTTATGGAAAATAAGTATGACTATTCTTATGTTGTAACCTTATTAGTGATAGAAACTTGAAGCAATTTTCCTCAATTATTTTACATTGGCAAAACTCATGGGAAACCCAAGCCACTTCCACTAACTCTTGTTCTGGAGAGACTACTCCTGGAAAAAACGTACCTGTTTCTTTATTACCACCAACCAAAAATCCAAATTTATTGGGTCTCAGCTACCTTGCTGGAGGGAGTTTGGATCTGCTTTTGCAGACCATGCACACGTTTTCTGGGCCTGTACACATGTAAAGCCTTTTCTGAAAGAAGTGGACCATGTAATCTAAAATGCTCTACACCTGAAATCTGACATGACTGTACCTTGGTAACATATCTAAATGCCTTGATAAAAGTGATACCATCTGAAGGTTATTATGGCCGCAATTAATATTTGTAATTATAATATTTGTAATATTGCTCTCCTTATTAACATAATCAATTATATCCGCTCTATGGAGAACATGACTTTCACTCTCCGACTCCAATAGGAGAAGAGGGATAAATAATGGGCCAAATGGGATTGCTATACAAATCTAGGATCTTAACAATGTCTGTCTTTTCTTTGACCTGACCTTTGTACACTGAACTGTACTATTGTCTTGATTTGTCTTTCTAATTGTCTCTGACTGTGTTTTACTACCCCAGTCTTCATACATTGTATAAACAATAAAAAATAAATAACAATAATAATAATCTTTTACGTTAATATAGCATCTTTCAGGCAAAAATGCTAAATATTTGCTTCTTCCAGCTTCTTAAAATTGAGGATATACGTTTTTTTGTCACATATGGTCATGAAATGTAATTAAATATGTCTTTCTGAAATATAAACTATATCCAATAAAGTGTGATTATTTCTCACATGATTGTTTCATTTATGTTTCATTTTAATCTCTCAGAATGTTTCAGATTTTAAAAGGTAATGGCCTTCTGATCTGCAATGTTTTAATAAAGTTTAAGGCAACACTTTATATTAAGGTACTCAAATTCACCATCAACTAGTTGTTGATTACCATGCATATTAGCAGTATATTGGCTCTTTATTAGTCATTATAAAACATTTATTAATGCCTTTTTTCGAAATGACCATATCCTACAAGTAATAGGCTTAGTTTTTCCTCAATAACCCTCTAATTATTATTATTACACTTAGCGGTCCTATGTGTTAATCTGTGTATGTTACACTTGCATGTATGAGATCATTAAGTGCCTTGTAACTTCTTTTTTTATAGTTTCACTCCGTTTGAATGTCAGTGGACTGCAAATAAGTCAATAAAGGAGCATGGCTGCTCATTCCCTGGCTCTCAAAAGAGTTTGGCTGGCTGTTGAATCTATGTTCACACTGAGACAGTACAACACAGAGAGAACAGTACACCTATTGTGTAAGTACAATCAAGCAGGTCACACAGTATGATCACAAATACATAAACTCTGTTAAAAATCTGTTTTATTAAAAAGTACAGGCTGCATATGTGTTCTCAGCCTTGGAGAACTTGACATGTTTTGGGATGTGTCTGAACCTCTCTTTAGTGGTTCATTAATAAAACTGATATTTCTTATTGGTTATGAACAAGACTTCACTTTAAAATAGGAAAAATGTTCTTAGATATAAATACCCAATTAGAGTCAAACTACTAACTTATGAACAAGACTTCACTTTAAAATAGGGAACATGTTCTTAGATATAAATTAGAGATGGGCGAGTCCTGATTCATCCGGATCATTAACCCGGATCCTAGAAATGAGCTGGTCGTGACGAGTCTCCCCTCTCCATTAACCCGAGTCCTTGAGTCCCACACTTGGTGTGACGTACAAATTAAAACTATAAATTGCGTCACTCGCTACTCTCTTTATAACATGTAAAATCACATTACAACGTACCCCAAGTCCATCTACCTACCCTTTAGCAAGTATACAGGATAGCTGCCTGCCAGAAGTGATCGTTTGGCTCAGGGGAGGGGACGCGGATCAGTGAAACTTCCTGCAGACTCGTGGGGACTCAGAGGAGCCGACGGCTCCTAACCGTAATAGCATAGCAGATCCAGCGATCCATACTCGTCATGTGCACGAGCATAGCCCCTCCTCCAGCACCCGGCTCCCGCGCTATATTATGCACGAGTCAACAGCAGACTCGCAGATTCGCAGATTCGCAAATCCTGACTCACTGTGCAACACACAGCAGATCAGACTCGTGCGGACTCGGAGCCGTAACCATATAGCAGCTGATCCAGAGATCCAGCAGACTCGTCGTCATGCACGAGTCCACAGCAGACTCAGATTCGCAAATCCTGACTCACTGTGCAACACACAGCAGAGCAGACTCTTGCGGACTCGGAGCCGTATATAGCAGCAGATCCAGAGATCCAGCAGACTCGTCCTCATGCACGAGTCAACAGCAGACTCAGATTCGCCAAATCGCAAAATAACCCTTTTTTTTGTGATCAACATTTTTTATTAAAGCAAAATACACTGTGTAGCGGAGGTTAATATAACGTCAGTTTAATAGATAGATAGATAGATAGTACTTTATTGATCCCAAATTGGGAAATTGTTGTTACAGCAGCATAAAAGGCATTTTACAATAAAACAAAACTACAAAATATACAAGAATAGAAAGAAAAATTAAATAAAATATAAAATATACATGTCGAAATAGAAAATATACATGCAGATATTATATATATATATACAAATATATATATATATTCAAAATATATGGAATAATAATATGCTCGTGAAATGCATCAACTTTTCGGTTTCACCGATAGGATTTCTACGGTCTTGGTGATGCTGACTCATATGACTCAAATGACTCGTATGATCCGGATCTCTTCAATGACTGACTCAGAAGACCCTGAGTCCGTAAAAGGATCCGGATTTGCCATCTCTAATATAAATACAAAATTTGGAGTTATTTAGACTTAATTAATCTGTTAAGCCCTATTCCCCCGCGGGCGAGGAAAAAATCGCAACATCTGTAAGAAACAGCGTCTGAGGGCTTCTTAAAGGAAACATGTCATGGCCATTTCCACTGATCATAATTCCATTGTTGAGGTCTACTAGAATAGATTTATATTGTGCATTTTTCCAAACTCACATTGGTTTCTCATACAGCATCTCTGTAAACTACGTGTATTCACTGAATTTCACTCTCTGCCTTTAACGGCTCGTTGTAGCTCCAATAGCTCCAGCCCCCACCCTCCCTGTGAGCACAGTGTGCTCTGATTGGTCGGGACGTTGTGAATGGCGCTGAGCTCCGTGGAGGTGTTGTTTCCTTGTTAGCGATACACAGCGAAACACAGCCAAACTCATCCTGAGCACACACAAACTCACAACCGAAGTAAAAACAATAAGTGTGGCTTGATATTGAGTAAGAAAAAGGTTGATAAACGCTGTGAGAATGGGTCTGCAGAGAGAATTTCGCCGCGATCCCAACTGTCTGTTATCAGCCTGCAGCCAGGGAGGAGAAATCAGCAGAGCTGCCTGCACTGTGTGTGTGTGAGGAAGTCCGTGGATTGGTCAATTTGGACCAATCAGCGGGGGCTTAACGTAACGGCTCCGTGGACGTAACGTATCAAATCAAATGGATAATGACGTATCTCCAACGAGGCGTTTTGGGGAGGTATTTTCTGTGTTAGAGTTGTACTCGCTACAGGGTGTACTTTGAGGGTTTTGACTCTGCACACCGTTTACATGCATAAAAACCTTCATAACACACAAGGGGACGGGTAATAACCGGAAAAGCATGACATGTGTCCTTTAACATTTAAAAACCTATTAATGTGTCATACCCACTTAACGGGAAGAAACTCAGCTATCAGACAATATTAACAATTTTTAGCAAAACGAAACATAAGGGTAATAACAAAGGCTCTGAATTAGCCCTGAGCGAAAAAAAGCTAACACACTTAGCACAGAACTCACGTTAAAATACCCTTATTACTTATCGTATCTGCACAAACAAGATATCGATTAGCAAGCTGAGATTCCACGGATTCGACAGGTATTAGTATCATTACTGACCGTTCCGAACTCGCGACATGAGAAGCTAACAAAAACATCACACCACGTAGCATTAGGTAGCCAACACGGCAATATGTCTTACCTTTGTTGTTTTCTGATCAAAAGTTGTCTTCAATTGCATTAAAACGATAAAAACGCTGCTGAAGGTTAATCCATAGGTTAATCCAATGTGTCTGTGTCACTTTGAAATTATTTCTGATAATCCATTAGCAATAAATCTAGTTTTCAGTTTTCAGATTTCAGAGCGTTTGCATGGGCAAACTCCGTGCGCATAGCTCTCATTTCTCAATGGTAACGTGTGTGTGTATGTGGAAATTCCCCTTCGATTATATTGGCTCTAACTGTTCAAAAGAGATGTCAATCATCAAAATCGACCAATGGGTTCCAGAGAAACGGCAAATACACCCATTTCTACCCAAATGACCCCAGAGGTGTTTTTTGTTGTTGCTAAACCTCTCTAAAAAGGTCAAATGTCACTTGTTTTGCATCAATCTTGATACAGGGTACTTATTATATGTTATAGTTTGGATTCCTAAAGCTTTTAGTATACTATCCCATCATTCAAGGGTGGTTTTCACTATAAGTAATGGTTTATTTTTGGACGGACACTATAATTTACATTTTTTTACTATGTTCAATCTGAATTTACTTTAAAATAAAAAAACATCTATATTGATTCTGACTTTTCTACATCCAACTCACAGGTTTATCATTGCTTTGAGAAAAAAGATTATTAATTGACCCCTTTTAGAAGGGAAGTTATTGTCGTTTTTTTTAACACTTATAGTTTCATGTATTGTTACATAAGAATAGATCATATTTGTTAAGTGTTGTTATGGGAGAATTACTATTCTTGTACTACTACTGCCTTATTAGGCCCATATTGAGCAGAGCATATTAAGACCAAAACTCATGTACAACAACTTCCTTACTTGCAATAAATAAGCACTAATTAGAGGGTTATTGAGGAAAACTCTCAACTAATGGCCTATTATTGTAGAATATGGTCATGTAGAATAAGGCATTAATAAGTGTTTTTTAATGACTAATAAAGAGCCAATATACTGCTAATATGCATGGTAATTAACAACTAGTTGATGGTGAATTTGTGTACCTTAATATAAAGGGTTACCAAGTTTAATTATCTCTTGTCACGTGAAGTCATCCCGTCCGGCTGTTCCCATGGAAACAGAGTAGTCACAACACTCCTGATGTTAGCTGGCTAAAAATATATATATATATTTTATATACTGTACATTTGAATATTTTTTATGTAGTCACTCATGTATGCCCTTTGTTTTACCTTAATGCTAACACTGTTTTGTTATTGTAACGCAGCGTCCACACGGCGGCGTGCGTTAAAGCTTGCAGGTGGGCGTGTCTGAAACTCGACCAACAACCAATCACATGAATCTCCCGCCCCGGACACAAGGGCACGCGGTTTGATTGGCTAGAGCTTGTACTGGCATATGATTTGATTGGCTGACGCTTCCGTCGAAGCTTCAAAAGTTGAACATTGCTCAACTTTTGAAGCGAGCAACGCGTAGCGACACTCCCACAATGCAGTTTGGCGAAGCGTGACGTCACCCCATTCAAAGTGAATGGGCAGAAGCGTTGAAGCTTCAACGCACGCCGCCGTGTGGACGGGCCGTAACGTTTCAAATTTCACAACTTCAACAGTTTATCTACTGGGGATTTTCCCCGGTGGTACCTGTGTCTACATGACCTAATAATGAACTTATGGAGTAAATTCAAATTTACCTAAATCTGTCACAGCAAGAGAAGTTAGTTCGGGAAAACTGAGCCGATAAACCCCCCCCTTGGGGTCTAGACACTGGTGGTGGTGGAAGCATGAAGGGATTGATGGAGGTCGGTCTGAGGAGGAGTGGTTTAAGCTTGACCCTGGATTTGGAAGAAAGGAAGGTAAGGGGTGGAGGAGGGCTGCGTTGAGTCACCTGAAAGGACAACTGTGAGGAAGGGGAGAGAGCAGATTTAAAGGTTTAGCAATGCACAATGATAGGCTTGTGGGAATAGAGGCGAAGTGATAGGTTTAGCTGGGGAGTGACGCCCCCGATCACTGAGAGGAGAGAGAGTAGTAAGCTGGGAATATGTGAATCAATGAGTAAAGACGGTCTTCCTGTTTGAACTTGCGCTAAGCTTCATTTAGTAAGTATTCATAAAACAAAAATGTATTGCACCTAATATAAATAAAAAGGAGATACAAAAAACAAATCAGTCATTTAATAAATACAAATTAAAACAAACTAAACAAGGAAATAAAAGAAAAAGGAAGTAAAGGAAAATAAAAGAGACAAGAAGTGGAGAGAGGGAAGTATATTGTGCTACTTTATTATTTCAAATGGTTTCATTATTGTGGGGAAGGTCTGGCAAAGCTGGTGTGAAGAGTAATCAGCTCTCCCAGTACTGCAGGAAAGGAGACATTAAGGGTTGAAGATTTGTCCAGCTTTGCATGATCTGTTAAAATATTGAGCCGATCATAAGTGAGAGATCCAGAGGAAGTAGAAGTACCAGAGTGTTGGAATACTCTCTTAGAAGTATAAATCCTTCATTCAAAATGTTACTCAAGTAAAAGTATAAGCATGGAAATATACTTAAAGTAACAAAAGTACTCATTATGCAGATTGGTCCATTTCAGAATGACATATATAAACACTTTAATGCATCAATAGTTATAATCAAAACATATATGTTTATATATATATATATATATATATATATATATATATATATATATATATATATATATATATAACTACAACTAGTTTTAATGACTTTGTATACTTGCAGGGTAGCTTGTGAATTTAGTCCAGGTGTAACTAAAGTCTGATTTAAGACTTGATTATATTTCACATCATTAATCCAAATCTGTAAAGTAACTAAAGGTACATAAGAAATGTAGTGGAGTAAAAGTACACCATTTACCTCTGAATTGTAGTGCAAAGTAACATAAAACTGAAATACTCAAGTAAAAGTATCTCAAAATTGTACTGAAGCTGTTAACCTGTTAAGCCCTGAGCCTGTTTTTCAGGTCTCAGGCTCGAAAATGACATTCCCAGAACAAATGACCATATCTTCCCTTCTAAAAGGGTTAAATTAATAATCTTTTTACTCAAAGTAATGATAAACCTGTCAGTTGGATGTAGAAAAGTCAGAATCAATATAGATGTTTTTTATTTTAAAGAAAATTCAGATTTTACATAGCAAAAAACTGTAAATTATAGTGTCCGTCCAAAAATTCCTTTTTACTTATAGTGAAAACTACCCTTGGATGATGGTAAGGTAGACTAAAAGCTTTAGGAATCCAAAGTACAACATATAATAAGTACCCTGTATCAAGATTGATGCAAAACAAGTGACATTTGACCTTTTTAGAGAGGTTTAGCCAAAAACACTCCACCTCTGAGGTGATTTGGGTGAAAATGTTTTTTTTCTTCATATCTCTGGAACCCATTGGTCGATTTTGATGGTTCCCCCACACACACTCATTGTGAAAACAAACGGTGAGGACTTCGCGCATGCAGGTTGTCATCAGAGTGAAGCGATCTCTCGCTCTGACATCTGGAAACGAAAAAGCAGTTTTATTGCTTATGGATTATCAGAAATCATTTCAAAGAGGACACAGACACATTGGATTAACCTATGGATTAACTGCAGCATCGTTTTTTATCGTTTTAATGCCATTGAAGACCAGTTTTGACCAAGGTAAGCCATGTTAGCGTTTGTAGCTACCTAGCGCCCCTTTTTTTGATGTACGTTTTCGTTTATAGAGTCGCAAATGTTTATCACTGAGTGTTGAGGTGGGCACCCATCGATTCTGTGTCTCCAGACGATGCTAATCGATGGGTTTGCTGTGCATCTAGGATAAGTAATAAGGGAGTTATGAGTGAGTTTAGGTGCAGTGATAGGTTAGCATTTTTTCGCTCGTGGCTAATTCAGAGGCTGAATGTTAGCATTGTGGGGTTTTGTTGGGAACATTTTTTTAAAAGATCAGTTAGCTGAGTTTCTTCCCGTTACATGGATATAAAACATTCATAGTTTATTAAATATTAACATTCCTTAGACGTTGTTTCCTGCAAATGACGCGTTTATCCGCCCGGTACCGGGGGGAGCGGTGCGTAAGAGGTTAATAAATATATTTTCCTATATATTCTTGTCCTTCCCACGCTTTTTGTTATGGCCAAGAGCCAGGCCATGACATGTCTCATAATGGGTGCCCAGTTAACCTGTTAAGCCCCGAGCCTGTTGTCCAGGTCTCAGGCTCCAAAATGACATTCCCAGAACAAATAACCATAACTTCACTTTTTTCTCAAAGCAATGATAAACCTGTGAGTTGGATGTATCTCATTTATAAACATTGCGTACGCTCAAAAGATGGCGTACGCCAGTTTCTAAGCAATCTTTGCGATTTATAAAAAACAAACTTCACGGGAAATTGTGCGGTCCTCCACGCACAATCTGACCCATCCGTACGCGGTACACACAAAAACGGGAGAGACGAGAAACTGCGACACCGTTGGCAGAAGGAACAATGGAGAGAAATATGTGGAAATAATACTGTGGAGGAAACTTCTGTGTAGTAATGCATGGAGTCACCGACTCAGGAAGGAGACACGGTGAGAGTTGGAGCTTTGATGTCAAACACTGATGGGTTTATTCAGAGTATTCGGCCGGAGGATTCACATCACAAATCAAAGAGTCAGAGGTTCTGACTACACGGTAGAGTTGCCACATCAATTCTGAAGAGCCTCTCTCTATGCTAGACCTTTTAACAGGTTCACAGAGAGAAATCAACATCTCTGAAGGAGTAGACTAAACACTGAATCATCTGCGTCCGACGCTCATGGCCTCAAGGATTTCACATCCGAGAGCCCACAAACACCGATAAAGAAGTGCCTCAGTGTTCTCACAACAATTACCCTTTGTGCCAGTCAAGTTGACCGGTCACACACTGGTGACAACAACACATATGGCACCAAGGCCTTTCCTTAAAGGAGATAACACATGTCAGAGTAAAAGGTTAGATATCTAGAAGAATTATTCCTTAACAAATACCATAAATAAAATGTTACCTTTCATTTATCATATATGAAGAATTCATTTTCAAAAATTGATTAAAGCCAATCTTAAAATGATTACACAAACGCCTGTTTGAGACTCCTCAGTGCACACAAAAACATAACTTGGAGAAATAAATAAATACTGGAATGTTATTGATCACCCCTCGATAAATGTATTCTCAAATGATGCAGTAAACAGAAGGACAGAATTACTTTAAACTGACGCCGTTTATCTTTTCTCTAGGTTGTATAAATACAAGCATGGTTTATACTATCTTGTTTAATCATGTTATATGCCGTTCGCCAATACTTGATAAGTCGCTCGTAAAACAAAGGAGGTATGGAAACTAAGAACACCATATGTGGTAAATTGTACATCTAATATAACACAATACATTAGTTGTATTTCCTTTAACTGGTGGATATAGAGTTTGTTGCGGGGGTTTGAGACGCACAGGCTGCAGTGGAGACGCACAGGCTGCAGTGAAGACGCTGCGCACAGCTGATCGACAGCTGGAACACAAACCACCTGTCACAGTCTGCTTTCTCACTCACCTATTTTCTGCATTAACATTCCTTAGTCACCTGGTAGTCACACCCTGTCTCTCTCTCTCACTCTGTTACACCCATCAGCTCCATTAGTATATAGGCCCACTTCACTTTCACCTCAGTGCCAGATCGTACTTTGCAGCATGCCAGTCTTTCCCGCATTATCTTCCAGATTGCTCTCCCGGTTTCGACCCTGCCTGTCCCTGACCAGCCTGCCTCGCCTGTTTCCTGACCCTGCCTGTACCCGGACTATTCTGCCTCGCCTGCTCCCTGACCCGGTCTGTACCTGCGACTCCCGTCTTGCTTTCTCCTGGAACCCTCGCCTGTCCCCGACCAGCCCTTTGCCTACTATCTGCCGTTTCGTCTCCTACCAGCCTATTGCCTTTAATAAAGCTGGTTACCGACTATTCCTGGTTTCCCCTGTGTCTCAGGGCTTCTTAAAATGTAATAAACTATTCATGTGTCCTACTCAGAGGAAACGCATCTAACTGATGATATGAACCATGTTTACCGAAACAAAACACAAGTCTCACAAGAAGCGTCTAAATAAGCCCTGAGCGAAAAAATGATAACGCACTCTAGGTATAAATCAATCGATATACTTATCGGATATGCACAAACAAGCTTACAAACTGAGATTCCACAAATTCTAGAAATACAAGTATCATCACTGAGCGATCAGAACTCGCGACAGGGGAAGCAAATACAGACATCACACAATGTAGCTTTAGGTAGCAAAACATGGAGATATGCTCACCTTTTGCAGAATAACAATTCTGATCAAAAACGAGAAAAACGCAGCTGAAGGTTAATCCATAGGTTAATCCAATGTGTCTGTCACTTTGAAAAATGATTGATGATCCATAATTCCATTTTTATGTCAAAAACGGAGTTTTCATTAGCTGCTAATGGTAGCTTCCAGAGTGTATGACAGCTTCCTGTTTTGTCTCCTTGGATACGAGTCCAAACAACTCACAGACTGCACCGGGCGCTCACGTAGGAGCCCTGTGACTATCAGATTTGACGACGCTGATTGGCTGAAATTATGTTTCGGCGGCATAGTTTAAAGATAGCAACAGTTGGCTTCTGCTGCACTTGCTGCACTCTCGTCTGGGCGCTGTGCATAGCGCCCAGACGAGAGGGAGTAATGATACACGGGCAAGGCCAGGCAGGAAACATGTGACTTATCAGTAACTTTAGACATCGTAACACAATTTTAAACAAGATTTTATTGTAGATTATACATTTTACTGATACCAATTATATAATATTTACCTTGTTTATTAAAAATAAAAATAAAAATAAAAAATATATTTTTTAAATATATATTTTTTAAATTTTTTAATATTTTTAATTTTTAATGTGGGAAGAGGGGGGGCGGCGCCCCTAGCGCCCCTATGGGCCGGCCACCACTGTTTGAATCCCTGATGGTGGCAATGAGATGATCCCAATCGTTATTTGCTTCAGAGTCAGGTGGGCAGTCTTCATCAGCGCTGGATCCATCGCTGCTAGACGCAGTTTCGGGAATGTAGTCTTTATCACAGAAGGAACCTTCATTACTGGAAAGGCCAATGTTCTTCACCTTTAAACAAAAAAGGAACACCAAGTTTGTATTTTCTTCATTATCCATAAAAATGTACTGGTAACATTTCTTGAGCATTATTTTAACATCTAATCACTGTGCATTTCACTATATAACAAAGAAGAAAGTAAGTCAAATTGAATTTTACAGATGAAGCGTCTTATTTTGGACAGTTTAAAGTGCGAGGGTCGTGATCGGTTCGTGCACGTTCCGTG